TTAAGTTGTATTCATTATTCAAGCTTCTTATATGGTGATGTTTAAGTCACAGCAGAAATGCTATTTATCTTGCATTATTTTGTTATGTTAAAACATTGTGATGCATAAAATCATTATAGTTAAAAAGCAAGGCAAATGCCTCTTATATTTGTTTGATTTGTAAAGCTTGGTACAAATTTTTGGATCCCTCCCATCCTTTTGTCTTCAGTACGACTTCCCATTATACCCATTTGTTTGATTGGATGAGATCATATAGAAGGATAAATAATGCATTTTTGTTCTCCCACTTATATCGGTTTTGTATCTCGGTTTTGTATCAGATGATGAGTTTACGTAAAACTCTTTTTATTGGCGCTCGGTAAGTAGGCTATTAGATTGATTCGTGCTATCCCCACTTTCCTCTCACGCCAAACAAGATCATAAACAAAGGAGGAAAATAAACTCAGCGCATTTTCTCCTTTTCCTTTTAAAATTGGAGATGTAGAAAAGAGAAGGAACATGATAGCATAAAAGTTTCAAAATTACTAGCTTAATTTTTGTAGGAAACAATATGTATTGTCACAAGGGAGCAAATAGTTTGAAAATACATGTAGAAAATGGCAAAGACGTATTCACTTCAACGGTTTACATCAAACCGATAAATGCACGACATGTGTTTGTACATAAGATCTTCGCTTATCAAATCACTTAATCATGGTAAATTGGTATGATTTAATATAAATACCAGGTGCGAGTAAGTTTTTAGCCGTTAAAACTTAAAGTACCTATGGCATAACCAATAATTATATCACATGTATATTAGAGATCCCAACGACTCAACATTTACATCATCCCTGTACTCCATTTTTTTTAATTCTTTCTTTGCCTTTCTCTTTTTTCCACAAACTAAGTGTATTATCCCGTTTCTTCTTCTTTTTTTCCTCTCTCTCTATATATTTATATATACTAGTCCTGGACACGTGCGTTACACGTGTATTCCTAACAATTAATAAATACTATTAAAATATTAGTATGAGATTCAAAATTAAATTAAAAGAGGAAAAAACTCAAATTGATAATTGGTGTCATATATGTCAAAACAATATCGTAATTGAACTTGAGATGAATGAGTAGAACAATTATATTTTAAAACTAATTATTAAAGTTAAAAAATTGACTCAGACTCTTTCTAAGAATCTCTCCGGCACAACAACGTACAAATAAAAATCTTAACTAATGTATATTAACATTATATTAGATATTAATTTAACATAAATAGAGTAAGTATTTGACTCAAGACTTTAGATGATACATATGTATCGTGATATTAAATTTGTTATAGTCTCATTCAAATTAAAATAAATTCTTATTATCTATAGCTAAATATGTGCCTTTTGGCATAGCTAGTGTAGCATGAAAAAACAAACTTTACATCATCTGGTAACAACATAATAGCATTCTTATACACAAACTTATAAAGATGAGGCTTTAATTTGGGTAAGTACAAATTCAAGAAATAAATTACCATATAAAAAGTGATTTATTCACTTTAAGAGGTGTTTTTACTCTATCAAATAGAGTTTAAATGATCCCCTTCATTTTCAAAACAAAAAAAGAAAAAGTTTCCTTAGTGTTATTCTTTTACTTCGGCCACTATTACTATAGTCGGTAGTTGTACACAATCCACAAATTATATGACGTTTTCTTATGAGGTTTTCTTAATTTATCAAATATTTAATTTATGTGATAGTTCAACAATACATAGTTCAAATATGAATATGAGCAACATCACTTGTGATTACAAATACTTCAAGCCTTAATGCTTGTGTCTTGTCTTTACAAAATTGTAACCTCCACCATATTACAGTCATATGTTAAAGTTATACGGAAATTCAATTAACATATATCTTTATTTGGATGCATGGGATCATTGTCAATTTCGTGATGTACATCTGGGGAAGAAAGTAATAACTACTTGTTATAAAGATCCTTAATAACTATCGACATAAGAATATTAATATGATACATTTAAAACTTGGAGTATTGTAAAATTTTATTGCATCTAAATAAAGGATAAGAACAAATTTAACTGAAAATAAAAGAAGCAGAGAGCCCAAAGAAAATTAAAAGTTGTGGGATAAGATTAGGCTGTGGATATAACGTTAGAAATAATTAGTAAGTTGATTATATCTATAAATATATTTGTTCAAAGTTAAAAATTTTATTTTGATTACTTTGAGTTTCTGAAGATAGAGAGATACTAATCAAGCAGTTGGTCTACTTCATCCAACAATAATATAAAAACCAAATTAGTTTTTGAAAAGTAAATACAAAGTGAGAAAGTGTTACCAATTATGTGGAAGTAATAAGCAAGAAACCTGTAAAAGTATTAATAATTACATAAAAAAAGACAATGAGTTAACCAATCAAACGATAAATGTAATTTCTAATCGAACAAAATCTATATAATTGGTAGGGATTATATTTTGACAAATATATGTATGAAAGTATCATAACAACAAACATTTTCCAAGTCGAAAGCCTCAATTAGAGAATTGCTCAAACAAAAGGCTTTAGGTGGAAAGAAATCAAAAACAAAACATGTCGATAAATTAAGTGACATCCAATGAAATTCAAGAGGAAACGAAAGTAACAAAACAAAAGCAATGACATATTAACAGTGAAATAATAGATCATAATACCTGGAAAAAATGTATATGAGAAGAAGACAAATAGAACAATAAAAAGAAAACAACTTATTTTGGACCTTTATAGAGAGCAATTAAGAATATAATAAATTGTGAGGAAAAATTAATGGTTGGGAAAAGGAAAAGTTAGTACGATGTACATTACCTTTAAAGATCAGTTATATGAATTGAACAGACAACTTTTAGCTATAGAGGTATTACGTTTAACATGAATAGTAAAAAGTAATATTATTTGGAAATTAGAAAGGGCAGAACTTTTACATCAAAAAGGAAAAAAAACAAAAATTGAGGAAACAGATTAATAAGGATGCTTTTAATATCATTATTTAATTAAATATTTCAATCTTTAGGTAATTAAAATATTATTATTTAATTAGATATTTTATTAATTAATATTAACTTATTTAGATATTTTATAATATTTTAAATTAGGATAAGGGTAAAATGGTATTTCAACTTTTAAGTTTGTGACTTCCCACTTTTAGTATAACTAGTCTTCGCTCACGTGCGTTGCACGTGTACCCTATCAATTAATATTGAGATTTTAAAAATGAAACAAGTATAAAATATGTAAATGAGACATAAAGTAGATTTTTTTAAAAAGAAATATACTCGTAAACTTAAAACAATGAAGGGTGATATGTATACTCCAAATTTTGTGAATCAATTGAAACACCAAGTAATTTTACCCTATTATCAAATATAGATATGGGAACCATATAGTTATTCACTGGTCACTTGTATTACATATTTGCATGACTTTTCATTTTTTCATTTTAATTGTTACCATAAAAGTGAGATTAAACCTTATTATTTTAATTGTTACCATAAAAGTGACATTACTACGATGACTTTCTGAAAGTCAACGTCTCTACGATCCTATAGTATGTGTTGACAGTAATAAATACATTTCTTAGAGGATGAAAAAGTCTGTCAAAGGAGATAAAGAAGCGATAAGTACTGAAATTATTTTTTTCCAACAAAAATTGAAATCCCAAGGTAAAAAATAGAAAAGTATCACATAACGTATAAAATTGAGTAATACCTCGAGAATACATTTCAAAATTACTACAAAACTCATCAAAAAATAGACATCAAAAAAACATTCAAGGGTACAACATATTAACAAGACCACACAAAAATAAA